TGTGCCCATTCAAAAGTCATTTTCCACCAGCAGACAGAAAACAAGTGACCTCTTCAACACCATGATGAGCATATGATTACTTCATCTGTTTACTGCCACATGACTCAAACAGTCAGCGGTATGCACCTCATGTAATGCCTTTATTCATTGTGCAGTGATTCAGCCACTGTGTGAGAGTTTAGACTGGTTTGATTGGTGAGGAAACACTGATCTGTAACCACCCACTGTAGAAGCAGCACTTAAGCAAAAGATAGATGTCAATTCACAATTATTTTGATTGTAGTAATTACCTGTAGGCTCCGTCCCAACTGTCCACTTTAAAATGACTTGTAGTCTTCCGAGGCCAAGGAAAAACATTACACTGTCCCAAAATATTAGCCTAAACTATATCCCTACATAATGGGTATTTGAACTTGTATATGGCATGATGAGAACTACCTCTAGCTGCAGGACTATTTGTGGTTTGAAGCCAATACAGTGACACATTTTTGAGTGAATCCATTAGGATCACAGCAATCGCAAGTCCCATCCTTCAGGCCTGCGCAAATATGGCCTCGTTTTCAAATTTGCCCTCTTTTCATATTTCAAAACCAGCCTGTACTGAAATCAGCCAAGAACAATTTGTGTCGACATGAGTGACCTGATAGATATGACCTGAAATTCACTCAAATGCAGCAGTCATGTCCATATTTACCTACATGTTGGCAGAACACACATGCACAATGAAGTGAGAAAAAAAGTCTCAATTTTTCATTTACACCACAACCAATATGTTGTGGCAACAGTAAATACAGGGAAGAGGTATCTATTTTTATCCTTCCTCTCAGTCGACAGCAGAAGAGTGAGAGTTATTACTGTCAACGGTTATGATGACTGCAGACTGTGATGAGATGGGATGCATGGCAAGAAACAGACAGAGGAGGGTGAGACGGACAAGGATGTGTCAAGCAGTGTGAAAGACATCAGGAAAAAAAAAATTTCCTCCTACTCAAAAACCAGTTAACAGGTCATTCTTCTGTGGCTGCAAGCTTGATTATGTGTGTGTGTAATTTCTCCCTTTTCTAGCATGTTAGATGGAACAAGACCCGGAGACAAGCCATCAACCCATCTTTAACATACTGTAACACACAACATATCAGTATGCTTGACTGTGTGTGGAAGTGGTAACAGCAATCCATAATACATAGCACCAGGTTGCTCGGCATGGAGCAAAACATCATAATCAGTGACAAACAAAAACAGCAAAACATCACATTTAAAAAGGTGGAACGGCAAATATGTCATTTAATTTATTTGCACTTTTTTCTAGTGATTTACTAATAATCATTTCTGCTTGACCATGGACAAGGATGTAAATAAGAGAACACAGGTACAGAGGCTAAGAATGCTGAATACATTGGCAGGTAACCCAGACACAAGAGATAACTGATGCAGGAATATGGCAGAAACTACCAAGAGACAGAATTGGCTAACTACACAAATGTAGGTAACAATACTAGCTCAGGGAAATATGACTAAACAAGTAACCAGAATCAGTTAACCATTGTGTTTCTGTTACCTGTTTAGACACTTCTTAGCTTTTATACTGTCGCAACAGACAGCTGTAAAAAGAACTTGAATAAAATATAGTCTGAAGTAGGAGAAATTATGGTTTAAATCAGTAAATGTCTGATCAAAGAATAAATAAACAAAACTATGAACCTGACAAGATTCAGGACTCAACTGGTTTCTACACTCAGTGCTAGAGATGCATTTTGTTTGGTAACCAAACATTAGTGTGACTCAATACTGTAATACTGTAGTTACCCAAGAGCCAAATCAGCATGGTATCAGCCCACATCTACACATGGACAGAGACTTGCTCCACAAACATAAACTTTGTTAAAACACAAAGGAACAATCTAAACTAGTAACTTGTCTGAAATACTAGAAGTACTGGTTTGGCGCATAGCTGCGTGTCTGAGTGAGAAATAACAAGCAACAGCCTGTGTGCTGGCCTGATCAATGGCTATAATGGAATATGTGGACTTGAGGCCATTCATCCCAGAGTCCCCTGCCTCCAACATGTAGGGGGTAAAGCTAAAGTGCATCAGGGAGTAATTTATTTTGCTGTGACCATTCTGCAGTGGGTGAGGAATGGTTTGTGTGTGTAGTTATTCATATACTGTATGTAGCCCAACAGTATAGAGTGTAGATGAACATACTTTTATGCATGTATGCTTTTGTGCAACACAGCAGGCAAGATTTGGTAGCATATTGATCCCAGTTGATGTCTCAGGCTTTGCCATCGATTAGCAAAATGCCTCTAGCTCACTGCTGAGTCTGAGCCAAGCTCTTACTTTATATCCCCACAGCATCAGAGCTGAACTGAGAGTGACTGCTCAATAGCTCTCCGTCTTTATTTCCTTACGCATCTTCTACTTTTTTTGTTAAATTCATCCAGTGTCTTGTGTGAATATCAAATTAAAAGTGAATACAAGAGATGATTATGCCACTTGTTATGAAACTGCTTGTTACAGGTTTTCCCCAAACAGATGACAACATTTTAAAACCAGAATGCACTCAAGTGTTTCAAGAATGCTGATTTGCATTGGAAATACAGTAAGCCAACTTAACTCAACATTACACATTTCTGAATTCATTTCCATTAGATCAACAACACGACCTGAGGAGGGGGGGTAATCAAGCTCTCACTTTCTAGATCAACCTTGAATGATAGTGTAGCCACATTATACATATTATCATCCATACTGCCTGATATAATCATCACATTCATATTGCTCACTCTTAAGTCATTGTCTCCTCAGTGCATTTCATTACTCTAACCCCCCCCCAACACACACAGAGGAAACTTTAAAAAAGTAGTAACCATGGTGACACTGTCCACTTACAAAACTATGAAACATGCACAAAGACAACGTATAGGCTATGCTATAAGCTCACACAAACATGTACAGTAAGCACACACAAAGCCAGCTGGTGGTAACCATGGCATTCCCGTTCTCACTCAGGTTGGAGGTGGGAGGACAGTCATCAAAACACAGTCTGCCCTGGGGGGGCTGAGAAATTCAGTGACTCAGACATTAGCAAACATATTCATATATTCTGTTGGAAGTGACATGATTGTGCCAAAACCTTTCTCAAAATACTGCGACTGCAGTATCAAGGCTGGTAGGGTAGGAAAGTTTCTGTCCACTTATGTGAGACAAGTAGTGCAACAGTAACCTCACATAAATTTGTAAAGTTTGATCTTTCAATAGTGTCAACATCAGGGCAATTACAGTCATGTCTGTACTTATTTATTAAGTTAATGGAAATTAAATTAGAATTTGATTTATGTAGCATGTTTAAAGTTACTTCCAATTCATCTGTAGAACATAACATTTTAACACTTTTTAATATTAAATCAGCAGAATTCGAAAGATTCTTGTTAACTTTAATGACAACACAATACCCAAATGCACCAACACATTAGGTTCCATCACACTTTAGCCAATAACCAAAACCACAACAATGCCCTGACACCATGGGAACACAGCAGCAGCAGACAAAGAAGTTCTTAGTTTTAATGTAATTCATTAATGGATTTGGTAATTGTAATTAGCAAATTCATAATCTTATAATTAACATTTCTCACCACATTTCATCACTTTGTAGTCATTTTGTTTCTTGTGATTGTCATTTTTCATCTCTTTATAGTGTATCTTTATGGCAAATTATGTCCGATTGCAGTTTTGCAGTCCATACATAGACACTTCTCAAAATCTGGATGACACATTTTGCTCTGTAGGTATGCCTCAAAGCCTCCCTGCAGCTCGAAGCCTCTGTTGCTCTGTTCATGTATGAAATAGTGCTTACACTCACAGCTGATTGTGAAAAGACTTTTTTTTTACCGCTTTATTTACAAATATATTAAGGACTCCTGTCATGGTAAAACACACCAGCACTAACATCACATATAATACCTGACCCATTTTATTTGATGGATGGGAAGGTACATATGTATTTGGGTTCCCTTACACCCTGGGGCTCCCCAAAACAACAGACTGTCATGTGATGCACACAGCCTGTAATGTACTGAGGGTCACCAGTCTGGCAGAAATAAACCACATTTCTGCATTTCTTTCCCTGCTCATATTAATAAGAGAGGAAAATCCTCTCTGAATAAGAGAGAAAGCCCCCACTCAAAGGGGGTTATAGCCTGTCCCCTGCCTTCCCTGTCTGCTTCTAACACATCAGATAACGCACAGGGAGGGCCATAAACATAAACCCTTGTAATGATTTTTAAAGCACTCAAACAACTCTAAGGAGTGGCAACACAGTGAAAAAACACATTCATTTACACTCAAACAACTCTAAGGAGTGGCAACGCAGTGAAGAAACAAATTCATTTGTTACAACTCATTCACTTCCTCGTGTACATTACACACCGACAGGAACCAAATTCAGACATCTTTAATATCAAATTATGATTTTATAGGCTTATCTTACTGTATAACCATACGTATCGTATAATATTTTATCACTTTACATGTAAACAAGCCCGTGTAGGTAATATAAAAACTAAGTAAATACGTCCTAGGTAGCCTACTCATAAAGTTTACTCAAGTTTATGTTGAACTTACTGGCTTTTTATCGTTATAGTATCATATTATTTAGGCTAGATGAACAATTTTGCAGCACTAATCCAATGACATGTTATCATGCAGAAATGATTCTTATGGCTCATTTTAACATCGTTAATCGATGTGACAAACTGGCATCACACCTGTCTAATTTAGTGCTACTAATAGTCAGTGACGTAGGAGTCATTTCAGCCTTTACTCGCCATAAACAGCGAAAATGTGACATCGGCGCTGCGTTCGATTCGGCTGTGGTCACGACAAGCTGAATGTAAACAGAAACTTGGACTGAGTTAACGTACAGTTGGCTGCCACAAAGTTAACATTTCCGTGTTTTTCCATAACTCTGTTAGAATAAAAACAGACGCACTCCCCTACCTGCAGGACACCGTGATTTCAACTTTAGTTGCAGGAATAGTAGCGTTGAGTGGGTCGAAGTCACCTATCGACGCCATGCTTATGAAACTGTTGTTCATCCTGTTAAACTGCACTCTCAGAATTGTTAGGCTTTTCCGTTTCCCGTTGACAGTGGAATCCAGCCCCTCGGAGGAGAGCGAGAGAGCGTGTGCACGGCTCCTTTATGAGAAGTGGAGCTGAGGTGCCTGAGAGAAGGGAGAGAGGCTGGGAGATGTGATGTCACTTCTCTCCTTTTCTCCTCCTCTGTGTGTGTATTTCTCTCTTCTCCCTTCCCTCTTTCTTTATGCCTCCATCTCCTTCCCCTTTTTCTGTCTGTCTCTCAATCTTTTATATTCAGTTCAGTTCAGTTGACTTCAGTTCATTTCAAATTCAGTGCTGCAGATTTACTGGCATGGGAGTAATAACAGTGATACAATGATGGAGAAAATAGAATAAATTTGTAAAGAAAAGTCTTGCCTTCAATAGACTACTCTCATTCACATGAGTTTAATTGAGTTTAATTCAGTTTGTCACTGTAGGTTGTTGGCAGGAAACACCCCTCACCCTTTCTGCATAAACCTGCTAGGGGGACCAGCACAAAATGTGCTGTCAGGCTGACTTTGGCTTGAAGATAACTCATCTTGAGCAGAAAGACTGTGTTACAGACTACAGGTGTAGAGTATGAAAGGTGTTGGCATTTACCCGGCAGGAATGATCAAACAAAAGAAGATATTGTTATGATTTAGCTTCGTTTCCTGTAATTGTATTTGCATTCACCCCATCTCCCCCCACTGTTCTGCCACCATAATCAGCCATCATTCCACTCACCTGTCGCTTATTATCTCCCAGTCCTGCCATGTATATATACACCCTGTTTTCCACTCATTCCCCGCTGGTTCATTGTCAATTACAGACCCCTGTTGTGCACACCCTGATCTTAGCCCAGCTCTATTTCTGCCAGACTTCTCTATGGTTTACGCTGACACACTCCAAGTGTCCTCCACATTTCCTGGTTTGTTTTCTATTTTTCCTGCTCTGAGTATTTATTTGTTTTTTAGTTCTCTTCGCCACTTCATGCACTGTGCCCTGTGCCCTGCTCCTTTGTCCTCCGCCATAGTAACCTACTTACCTGTTATGCGGCGGAGCAGGTTTACTGTGCTTACCCGAAGGCGACTATACTCTGTTTACCTGACGGCGATTATCACTCTATTTGCTTGACTGCCCGCTACTGACCAGACTGCTTGTCACCTGCTACCACCTCGCCTGCTGCGGGCTCACCTGCCCGTCTTCCTGGTTCCTTGACTTACCGGTCCTCTGTTGCCCGCTATGCTTCTGCTTGAGTTCTGCTTCTCAAAACTACAGCAAAGCACAGTCAGGTTTGTCTGCCAGTTAATGAATGGTCTTCCACAGTGGGGGGGACCACTGTAGGTTCTGTAAGTTTCTCCACACCAGGGGTGGGCAATTAATTTTTACAAGGGGCTACATGAGAAACCTGAACTGTGTTGGAGGGCTGAACCAACGATAACTTAATTCTGCTCAATATTCATTATCTTCCATTGTAAAAAGCAATAAACTATATGTGTTGATTAGCTGCTACTGGTAATCAGAAGAATAGGCATATTCTATAAATAGTTATATAAATATATGAAATTGTGGTGTAGGTCAAACAGGAAAATACTCCTATAGAAGTAATAAACAGTAAAAACAAACATTACATCACAGTTCCATTTTATTTTCAACTTCACATAACACTGAAAAGGTGTTTTGCAGTATGGTAAAGATATGTATTTTCAGTTCATTTTACTTGTTCAGTAAGAGAAATCCAGTCTGGCTTGGGCTTGAACAAGTGCATTGAAATCTGGATTTGTTGAACTTCATCACTGAGAATGTCTGTTCACATATGTAGGTAGATCCAAAGATTTCCAGCGATGTCCTCAACCCTCCTCATTACAGTGCGTCGGGAGAGGGACGTTCTCATATGCACCCCCTTTTCTCCGGGCATATTAGTGCTGCAGAGTCCAACAAACACTCTTTAATAGCCACCTGTGTACCACAAACTAAGCACACTGCTTTACCTTTGGCTTCTGTAAACAAATACTTTCCAGTCGATGTCTTGTTGAAAATGTGGCATTCGGCATCAACTTTTCTTTTTTTGGCGTGAGTTGACATTTTGAGGGTTAGCTGGCCAACATCACCTGTCTCTCACCCAGTAGGTCGGGGATCTTAAGTTCACCTGTGAACTTTTTTCATTCATGTTCTGATTTGATGGACCTCACGCTGGCCGGACAGGGCCGGATGTGGCCCGCAGGCCGTAAAATGCCCAGGTTTGGTCTAGACTCTAGACCTTACTATTATCACTATTATTACAGAGGGAAAACCCAACAAATCCCCCTTAAGCAAGCACTTGGCGACAGTGGGGAGGAAAAACTCCCTTTAATGAAAGAAACCTCCGACAAACCCCGGCTCTTGGTGGGCGGCCTTCTGCCTCAACCGGTTGGGGTGAGTGGATAGAGGAGAAAGAAAAGCAACAAGACACAACAAACAAACACTGGTCAGGTTGATGTGGCTGGTGACTGCTCATTAGAAACATAGAGCTCCAAAGCCACAGCAACCTGCAGAAAGGTGAAAGCATACCAGTTCATTGTTCAATAAACTGCTTTTTATAGTTCCTGTTCCCTTAGTGTCTGTGTCTGGGCTTTGGTGATCTATATACTTAAAGTGCCCACAGCATGCTAATTTCCAGCAATTTAATGTTTAATCGTTGGTACTTTTAGATTACCTTTGCACCCATCATAACTCCAAATAGTCTGTAATTATTTGAGAAAGATAAAACCCAAGAGCGTCCTTCTGAAAATGAGAGGATTGTTTGTGGATGTGCATAACCCCTGCACAACCCCGGGTTGTTTAAATCTGTTTTCCCATTGAAATGTGTTTCCCCTAACCTTAATCGCTACATGAAACTGAGTTTTGAACAGGGGAAACACATCTCGACCTGGGAAAATTTTCCAACACAAGAGCAGTCAGAAAGTCAGGACAACACATAAACAAAAAACACTGAAAAAATAAGCTATGTCTTCAATAGTGACAATACTTCAAATCCTACCTGACATGTTCGAGTCAGAATATGACAGTAGACCTCCATAGATAAATAAAAAACTGTATATGTGAAAAGATTTGTAACAATCTAAACAAAGCGGGTAATTGAGAAACCCCATATTTTACCTGCCATAATGCATACACACTAACTCCTCCAGCCTTGCTGGTTTGTTCTGTGTAGCCAATACAGCAGTTTGGAGGAGATCCTTCAGCTACTTATCATACGCTACGTCTGGGACTAGTAAGATTGATTGTTACCCGTTTCATACTCAACTCCTCTGATTCAAATCTGTGGACGACTCGGCATGGAATCCCAGCACCAGAGACCGACGGGGCACCCACGCCACCGCTCCATCATCATAACACATCGGCAGGAGGTCACTTCGCCAAGGCGGAACCCCAGCAAAGCATCGGAGCCTCCGATCGCCAGCAGAAACCACCACCCTCCTGCGCCCTAGTCTCCAGCACTGGAGACAGTGAACCACGTCTCCCAGTCTGCTACTGACTCTTCTCTTTTTTCTCTTCCCCCCAGTTCCTGTGCTCTTCCTCTTGCCTTCGCTGCCAGACAGCCCTCCGAGCCTGGTGACAAACAGTTCCCCTAATTCATCTCGGGGTCGGATCCGTTTCCCCGCTGACCCGCCTCGGCCTCTCAGTTTTTTTTCTGCTTTTAGTTTCTGTGCCTTTCCAGGGAAATAAATATTTGTTCTGAATCGCACCCTGCCAGCCTGAATCCACTTATTCCTCACTCGGTTCACTCTCTCTCCCACGGTGTCAGGGAAGCGAACCTAACACCGTTATGTCCCACTGAGTAGTGAAAACGTCAAGGTTGGTAAATCCAGCCAGTGATCACAGTGTCTTCCCCCACAAATCCCTCACATTACAGGCGACCACATACATTCCCAACAGGTAGCCTTGCACCCACAGTAACATCATGGATAATTAGAATCCTCTCAGCAACCCACAATACATCATATGCGGCATACACACTGGCCTCAGGCAATCAAAACAAACAGGTACTGTGCTCCAGGGGAATCCAGCATTGATGATGTAACCCACCAGTGGTGATACTGCTTGTATCAGCACTAGGAATCTGAGGATAGGGTTATCGAAGGCTAGATTTGATGAGGAGGTTGGCAATAGACATAAGCCATACAGTTGAAATGACTTATAATTCCACCCCAATGAGCAGAGGACAAGATGTGGTTTACACTGGTATGAGCAGTTGTTATTTGAAGAACCTCATTCAATGTACCATCATTTAGTACCAACCATATCAAATACTAAATACACAGTGTTCAAACACATTGGTCAACATATACCCTTGACATCCCAAGTAAATAAAAATAAAACTCCACAATACAGGAAACCAAACAATAATACCTCTGAGTGCACTCAAAAAATTAAAACTGCCCTACCACCCCTCGAACACTCAATGTTCAACCAAAGACATCCAGTGGAGCCATTGCTGCGCTGTTAGTAGAGGAGGTGGACCGAGGACCCAGGCACCAAGGCGAATGAGGAAGGATCCAACTTCAGACAATGAGCCAGGAATCCAGAACCAGAAGAAGCCTCTATAAAAGAAACAGTCTACACAAAATGTGCAGTTACCTGCTATTCATAACTTAAGAGTCATTTTTTCCACTACTTCAAAAGGTATAGCATTCTACCTCACTTAAATTTGGTATAAATGTCCCAAGATAACCATATTTCCCCTTTTTATGGGCATAAATAATCCATACAATTGGCTTCAAGTATGTTCACAAATACATAAACAGTATAAAATTAATCTTGAATGCCACCAAACACACTGACATATGGTTCTGTGCTGTGTAAAACTAAGATTGTGCAACCTGTACCAAGCCAACAGCTAATGTTCCATGGCATTTCCCACAGGACAAAATGTAGTAAACAAAAATAAAATGTACACTGTGAACAGTTACCACAGTTATTTTGAAATGTTACCCCGAATGGTTTTAACAACAGTAAAGCTGAATCATCATTTCATAGTCATTTACAGTACACTGGTTTCCAGTGACTATAGTATGCTAGTGTAACACAAAATAGTGATTATGACTCACCGA